CCATGGACAAAAAGTGAACAGTCACTTTACAGGCAAAGAAATGCTTAAGAAGTAGACCAGAAGACACAGTCTGAACTGTGTGCTCAATAACAGAATGTTACCCGTTTAATATGGCACCACACAATCCTGAAACTAAGCCGATCCCAATACTTCAGGATGCTAAGCTTTGTTTTAAGAACAGCACCAACATGGATACTCCTTGTGCAAATGAACTCAGTGAGTGAGGTTAGAAGGACTCTTTTGCAGTGGCTGGATGAAGTTAGTCACGGCATTAGAGCTGGACTATGGTTTCTATTTTCAGGTTGCATGGACTACGCTAGGATGGGGGGTCCCCACTTCCACAACATATGCAGGTAGCAATTGGTAGGGACAGGTCCTTCTTGATTTATTCAGTACCATGTCTGTACCAAGGTAGTAGGGTACTCAAGGGCAGTGTGGGCTAGTGGCTGGCACTCTTCCTTGTAAACAGACATTACAGGGAGGGCAGTGCTTTTGTAAAAACTATTAACATAAGTTGTCTTCAACAAAGACATAATTAAAAATCAAATGATCACACCATGACCACCTGCAGCCAAAATCATTCAGCTCACTGCTATCTGTAGAAGCTCAGCAGGCCCCTGCTAGGACTCCCTCATACAGATCCCTGTGTCAGTAATGGGCCATAGCCATGCTTTCTCAACCAGTGTTATTACAACACATTCAGAGGTACTGTATGCCAGCGACTTGCAGAAAGTCATACAGAAGAAAAATAAATGAATAAATCAACGGTGCATCTACTAGGTTTGAAGAGTAAACAGTGTTTTGTTGCAGGTTTAGCGTATACACAAGACGGAGGCCACACTCCAGCCCTGCTCGTATGGGAGTTGTGTTGTGCTGTGTGTGGCGTGAGTCCAGCTTTTCAAATCTGACAGATGTGACAACAGAGACTGACAGAGGCTGAGCCACAGCTCCAAGGTTCGCGGTTTCTGCCTGGATAAGCTACACTTAAAGGCAAACGATAATGTGTTTTGTGAGGAGGGTGGAGGTGTGCCACAAACTTGTTTAATTAATTCAAGCGTGCAATTGAATGGAAAAGGTTGAGAAAAGTTACCTTAGTTCATCGGATCTGGACTGGTAACCCACTGTTATTTTATACTTCTCACATAATATGGATGGTTTCAGGGTAAACATTTTTATCCAAAATATGTCTAAACTTCAAACTTATAACAGTACACATAGCAATCAAAATTCACTATAAAGCTTGTAAGAGGTAAATAATGTGGATTTTCCAGATGTACCTTTGACCTTATCGATATTCTTATGAACACCAACTTTATATTTGTCGTATAACATTATGTTAGTCAAATCTTG